ATTGAACAGCAAAAGGTGTATTTAGAATAGAAAGGCGAGCGGCCACGAAGTACTAAAAGCTCCTAGTCGAGGCTGAACTTGATGGATACATTTACTGTATTTCATCAATTCTAAACTTCACCAGCTCAAGCAAATCCGTGAAAGTTCCATTAATACAATGAAATGAAAAATAATTAAAATGATAAAATTTGTTTTAGACGGAATTCTAAAACAGCGAAAGAGTTTGTATTCCGAAGTTCCAAAGGTAAATTGTTCCATTCATTCTCTCAAATTTACCTTTGGATGTTAGTGGCCTTGACTAGTTTACCTTGTTCAACGTTGCCTTTTTGTGTTACGGGACAACAATCAATGGAACCTATTAACTCCAAAAATATTTTATTTTATATTATCATTAACGAATCTCACGCATATCTTAAATACGAGTTACAAGCCCGCGTTGGTCTTGAAGGCAAGTCATAACGTATAGTCACATGCCTCTCACGAGTGGCACGTACAAGCTAAATTCGACGACCTTGATCTTATGCAACCTTTCGGTCAGGCCTAGATCTGTTCCTTGACGAATATGACTCTTTGCCCCCTGATGTTTATTAAGTTAATCGGATGCTTAAACTGTGCCCTAAAACCGTTTAAACCGTTGTAACAGCTGACCTTTCTATGACCAAACGCTTCCTTGTAAATTGTATTCTAATCGTCCAAAACCTGATTTTTGAATCATGCGGTCGCAACTCAGACATTCTTAGTTTTCCTATTTTAATCAAGAGGCAACGCTTCCAGAAATGTATTAGTTAATATCGGATAATTTTGACAGCTTGTCATTTAATTTGATTATTGTACGAATCCATATAAAAACGATGCATTGAGATAATTCAGTTAGTTAGTGGTTGATTTACAGTTGTAGAAGTTGCTTTTTGCCTTCCAATAAAAGTTTCTACCAGCAAATTACATCGTAATATTTGCACACTCGCCACAGGGAACCCGACTATATTTTGATTGCTTCTTTTAGAAAAGTAATTTTGCACTTTATGGGTGTCCTGTGGTTTGCGAGAGCTTCCCTGTGGTTTACGTTACATAAGCTGTGATCAGATCCGCGCTGTACATTGATAGGTTATTAAATTCAAAAATAAATAAGCGTTGGTAACGCACTCTCGAGTAAACAGTCAAAAGTAAAGAAGGGCTGAAACAAAGCACGGTATATGGTATGATCCTCACCTCCAGTTGCTCGGACCAGCTACTTTAGTGAAATAAGAAGGAAGTATGGATGATTTTTCATGTTTACATTGCGGCATAATGTAAATGAAAATACCAAAGATCTAAAATCCTATAGCCAAGGGAATTCAAATTTTGTGTTTTATTGAGTAACGGCTTTTTTAAATTTCAAAATTATTTTAAACTAAAATTATGGCAATTTTATCAGTTCTGATATAAACATGTTTAATGATTTCAGGCTTTTGAAAAACGTTTCAACCTGTAAATGTATAGTGCCAGTATCTCAAATTTTGAATATGCACAAGGCAACTTCAGATAAAGAAAATGTTTTAAACGAGAATGAAGTAGGCAGGATAACCAAACACGTTTCCCTACGATTACTCTTTATAAAGTGAGACTCAAAGGAAATGTCCAGAAGTTATATGGAAATTTAAATCTCTCTGTCAACAACCTGTCATTTTTTTGTTTCAAAGTTGACATTCACCAGATACATCCTGTTTCATAAGCTAACTTATGAACAACTTACGAGCAACTGGAGGTGAACATATGACTAAAATTTAGCTTTTAAATATCTCTTAGAATTGTAACATTTTCGAGTTTAACAAAATTAAGCATTCCGACCCAAAGTATATTTATTGGGCAAACATTGCGTGGGTTTTTTATTCATAAATTGCCTTCATGAATAATTTGAACAGGGGTTTTAAAATCAGACTCTCGCTTTGTTTCAGCCCTTATCTTTTTTTTACTCTTTACGAGAAAGTGCGTTACACGCAACCCATAAAAAGCAAGACACCAACGGTCATTGATTTGAATTTATCGCCTATCTATTTTCATCCTAAAGCAGCCATGAAACGAGTACGCGCGGAATGTTATCGTGACTTTCTGGATGTGATTCCTAGGTGAGAAGCATTATGAATGCCCCCGGGTCGTCCGTTGCCTATTTAAGCGAGAAACTCCAAGGTTTCGACCTCATTTGCTCAGGTTCGCTGTACCAGTCAGTGCTAGACGGATTTTTGACCCCACCCACCTCCCCTTCGGCGACGTTTACCCATTATAACAGTTCCGTCCGGTAGCTTAATCTCAGCCTAGGCAAAACTCGTGTTCCCAAAACTTAGCCGCGTGTATGAGGTGAATGGCTACTTTGGCGGTGAAAATGACATACGATTTACAGCGCGGATCTGATTACAGCACAGGGAAGCGATCATAAACCACAGGAAACCCATAAA